TTGTGTCACGTTTTTATTTTTTATTTATTTTTTTTAATTTTTTTTATATGTCAAATTGTTCTCTGCGTACATTAAATAATTCTCACACTGCAGTCAGTGAATAATAAAATATAGTTAATGAAATTATTTTGTTATTGCATGTAGTCTTTTGGCACCCTCTTTTTGGATGATGGTGTCCTGTCAGCTACATGTGGCTGTCTTGTGCTCTGTAAATACAATAAAGACAAACAAACAAATATTTAAATAAATAGACAAACAAACAAATAATTAAATAAATAAACAAACAATCTAACAAATGCATAAACAAAAACAAACACGAAAAAAATAAAAAATAAATGAATGAATAAGGAAGGGTACATGTACAGTGTGGAGTCCCATGTATGGTCCCACATTATATCTCAGAAATATAAATTAAAAATAATATAGAACTGAAGCTATTACTACTTTATATATAGAGTCGTACAACATAATGGCATACTCCCACGGTGTACATCCCTCATTGCAGGCTTTTCAAACCATGCTTTTGTCTAAACAGGAAGGTAATCCCACCACTGACATGCAGCATGGGAGAACCACAATAGATATCCATTAAAGTAATGATTGATCTACAGATAATTAATCAATTTTTAATTAAGTTATATTTTCAGAATGCAATTATCCTAATATGCTAGAATAATTGCATCTCAACTAGTAATGATACCACTGTGCTCTGTAATTGGACAACAGTTATGACATGATATCGTGTATGTGTACCCGGCTAAAATTTTATTTTTCATATGTGAACACTACAATTTGAGACAACCATGATGGCCACTTCCGGGGCTTTACGCTTGTACTTATATGCTATAAACCATCATATGACCATTGTTTATCTAGTCCACATGTTGCATCATAAACATTTGTTCTATTAGTACTGTAAAATCTGTATTAGAAGCTGTGGCTTCTATTAAAATAGTACAATGCAACAGTGGGGATGCGGCTTCTATTATGCGGCTTCTACACATATGAGAAATGATGAATTTTTGATTCTCAATTATTCAAAAAGAATGGATATGACTTCTGTTAGGGATGCTACTTCTAAGACAGATTTTACGGTAGTCCAAATGACATGTGTATCTGTTGTCGAAATTAGTCATTTTTAGTGAGTAATAAAGGCATCATTTGGTTTTTTGTAATACAAATACAGTAATACTAGTTTAAAATAATGTGTACAGTATGAACATTGACAGGTATTATGAAAATAATTATTCACTGGGTTAAAATTTTGCTATTTTCACTGATAAATAGAATGTGTTAAATTAATTCTATGTGAACATGTAAAATTAGAATGGAACTTTTTTTTTACTGAAAAATTTGTAAAATAAAATGTGGATATGATGAAAATATTGAAATGGTGCAATTAAATACCCATGAAAATGAATGCTTTCACAGTATGTTAAAAATGATTATTCAATATGTGCACTAATCCAGATGTTTAAAGGATTATATATCATGGTTTTCCTCATATTAATATTTGTCTTTAAGCCGATATTTATTATTTTGTTTTATGAAAGATGTATCACATAGAATTTATCTGGTAATTATAAACAGATGGTAAGTTTAGTGATACTGTGCATGTACTGTGAAATGACAAATTTGCGCTGGATTTATATTTCGCTGATTTACCATTTCAGGCATATTCAGTGGGTTTTAAATTCACGGTTTATCATTTAGATAATGTGTTCTATGCTAAATTTTACATATTCACTGGGTTTTAATTTAGCACATTTTCCAGTCAGCAAAATAAGAAAATTTAAAACCCAGTGAATAATTAATCCTTTTACAGTAACTGTTGGAAGTTCTATGCCAGTCTCTATAGATTCATGCATCAAGCTAAATTAGTCAATTGTCAGCACTGAAGAAAATAATTTCCTTGTGCATGCATCATCCCCGATCCCCTTCATTCCACAATACTGTGCACAGTGCTGTCTACATAAGCAATGTTGTACAAGGTTGCAGGATTAGGTTCCATTTATTTTAGCAGATTATTGGTCAATATAACAATTATATATTTTTTAATGTTATTTTGGAATGTACAACAGCACAGTGTTCTGTCAAAATGCGAATTTTCTGGTTACAAAATAAATGCATTTTGGGTCATGTCTGGGCATGGAGCTAAAATCCAGAACTCATTGGGATCCTATGCTGTCTTTGGACTTGTTCAACAAGGCTACAAATGTATTGAGATCTGAAATGACAACTAACAAGTTGTATACTGTTCTTTCACTGACATTTAATTTCACTATTTTGATGTTTTTAGCATATTCACTGTGTTTTAATTTCAAATTTTCAAGGAAACAATGAGTTTTATTGATTGTTATTTTACATGTTCACATATATTTAATTTAATTTAACAGATTTTACTTATCAGTGAAAATAGCGAAATTAAAACCAAATGAATAATTAATGCATTCACAGTAATTATTAATTTTCTTTTATGCGCTTGTTATATTATTTCATGTATCTAAAAATGCATCCCAGTATTAAAGTACATAACAAAAGCTGCTGCAAAAACATCTATTTGTCTTGCAGCACATGCATGTATGGTAAGGAAACTAAACTAAACCATTTAATATTGTGTTGTTTTGGTGATCTTGGTATTTTGACCATTTACTTCACAACTCATTGGCCTTGCTTAAATTTGTTTCTGGTGGTGATGCAAACAGCACATGTTGTCTTGATTTCACTAGATTATTTATGCACCTCAGTTTG